ACGACATGGTCCTGGGGTTGTTTCTTAGAGGTTTATCAAGTCTCATTCTGAATTCATTTCTAGTCACAAGCCTGAGTGTAATTCAGTGTATTTCCGTTCTTCATGGTTTCTTCTGCCACCTGTTCTAGGAAATATTGCTGTGTCCTATTTAAAGTCTCTCTTCCATCTCTTGTTCCTGTAAGGCATTTAGCAAATCTGTTTGTGTAATTAAATTCCTGTACTATTATTACTTTACAGACTAATTTTACAGCATTGCTTAGGTTATTTAATATTTCCATGCCAGTTTCACCATCCTTAATAAGAAAATCATTGTATATTATTTTTATACCCTATTATTATAGAGTTTGTAATCTGAGTAAAATCTCCTTATCTGTTATTGATTATCTTCTTTATATTGAGTCCTGAGTTGCCAATTTTATCAAAGTCTTTGCTAATAACTGTATATTAAAAGTTTCTACCCTTAGAAAATAAGTTCTTATCTCTCTTGGTTTTCTTATATCCACTCTTCAAGGCTAAAAAGAGTTCAAATATAAAAGATACTTATCTTTATAGATCTATTTATACAAATCTAAATACTTTTTTGAATCTTTTTTGAGTAAGTTTAACAAAAATTCTGTGAAGTCCCATGAGTACTTAAGTACCAAGGCATCAGACCGTCTGTCTGCCAAGGGCTTGAAAATCTTTTCTCTGCAATACCTGTTGCCCACACATGCATCTCACAGGCCCCGCTTACAGAAAGAAAAAGGGGAGTGGTAGCTCCTACTCTGCTCTCCAGAAATACCACTCCCTTAAAGAAAAAACAAACAGACAAACAAAAATAACCTTTCAGATATTCCTGAGTAAGTTGTCAAAGGAAGACAGTGGGTTAGTCAGAATAGACTGGATAATGTTTCAGTGACAAATAATTCCAAACTTTCAGAGTGGCTTTTTGATAGATTAAATATGGCTGCAATTTATTTTGCTACTTCTTGTTAAGGGTAATAGAATTCCTCTTCCCTTTAGTCTAGGCTGGCCTTTAGTGCCTTGTTTGATCAACAGAATCCCATAGAAGTCACATTCTCAGACTTCCAAAGCAATGCGGGCTCCACCTGGGCTTCTGGGAACTCCTGCTCTAGACAAAGTAAGTATGACAGCCCTGGAACTGCCATGCTGTAAAGAAGCCCAAGGTAGCTTGGGCTACCACATGGAGAGACCGTATGGATAAGAGAGATACCTGATCAGTTCCCAGCCTACGCCAGGTGACAGATATGAGTGCAAAGGACTTCATCTAACTTTAGCTTTAGCCTCCAGGTGCCTGCCACCATATGAAGGAATACAAGCAAATACAGCCTAGCTGAGCTGGAGTGGTTGTCTATGCAGCAATAGCTCACCTGAATAGGCTATCCCAATGAAAATTTGTCTCTTGCCTATGTGAAGTCCATTGAGAATCTAGGAGACCGCCCAGTGCAACTGTTCTTCATGAGGCAGTTCAGCAATTCAGGCAACTCTGGGCTTGTAGACCCCTAGATCACAATCTTTTCTCTAAAATATCCATAGCAGGAGAAGGGAACACTGGAGCATCTTGCACCAGCGATTAAATGCTTCAGCCAGAAAGTGGTACACACCCTCTGCTTTTGTTTGTAGCCCATTGGCCAGGACTATTCATATTGGTATGCCTAACTTCAAAGGTGTGTGGAATGGAAGGCTGAGGTGGGAGAATCACTTGAGGTCAGGAGTTGGAGACCAGCCCGGGCAACATATTGAGGCCCCAACTCTACAATTATAATAATAAAAAAAAATAGCTGGGCATAGTGGCACACACCTGTAGTCCTAGCTACTGGGAAGGCTGAGACAAGGGGATCATTTGAGCCCAGGAATTCAAGGTTGCAGTGAACTATGGTCATTCCACTGCATTCTAGCCTGGGTGACACAGTTAGAAAAAGGAGGGGGGTGTATGTGTAGAAGCACACTCCTCTGCAGGGTAGGGAAAGAGAGGGGAACTAAATATGGATCGACCAAACTCCTCCCCTCTCTCCTGCTATGTTGTAACCTCATCAGAGTCCAAGGAATTCCTTTGCGTACTAGGATCTGTGTATTTTTGTGTAACCACAGCTGCACTGCAGTGGTACTATTGCAAACTACTCTGGGGACAAAAGCTCTTTTTCTCAGTACCAGGTACCAATCTTCTTAAAACTGTAAATCCATGCTTCAAACATGAAAATGATTGCACACTGACCTATTGTTGCATAACCAAACACCCCAAATCTTAGTGGCTTAATAACAACATTGATTATCTCACAGTTTCTGTGGGCAGAGGACCCAGCTAAGGTGTGTGACATGATTCTGGGTCATTCGTAAGGCTCACTCAAGAGCACTGGGGAAAGATCTGTTTCTAGGTCACTCATGTGGTTGTTTGCAGGATTCAATTCTTTGAGAGCTGTTGGACTGAGGCCGCGGTTCTTAGGACATGGGCTGGAGGATGTCCTTAGTTCCTGTCATATGGAGCTCTCCATACAGAGTCTCAGAGTGAGCATGCAAGAATGAAAAAGGGTTCCAGCAAGGTGGAAGTCGCAGCTTTTTGTAATCTTATCTCAGAAGTGATAACCCATAACTTTATTCTATTAGAAGTGAATCACCAGGCCCCACTGACATTCAAGAAAAGAGGATGGCACAGGGGCATGAACACCGCGTCAGGAGCTGCTTACCCCAAGTACTGCTCTGGGATGGGTATTCTGCCAAGCAGGAGACACAAAGATATACAAGGTAGTTCCCTTAACCTTGAAGAGTTCCTAGTAAGAGCTGGAGAAGTGAAGAGAGAGTGTGATAACTACATGTAATTGAATTACACTGTTATGTTAGAGTTACACAGAAGAGTTATATAGAAGATCTGAGAAGAGACAGCAGCTCATTCTACATGGGCTATAAGAAGTACAATGTGAGCTACATGATAGAGGCTGAATAATAATTCACTAGGCAACTAGTATTCTAAGCAGAGCAAAGAGACAAGGAAGCATAAAAGCTCATGGTGTGCTTAGGAGATGGCAAGTAGCTTTTTGAAGCACAGGGGATTATAGGAATGGTGGAATGTAAGTGGGCAAAACTGAAGCTGGATTGTGAAGGACACTGTGTATGATGCTAAGTGAATTTGACTTCAGTATAGGAAAAATAGGCTTGGGAACATTACAGCATATCGTTGCCCCAAATAATAATAAATAAGCTCTTTTGAGCCATACCATGAGCTAGGCATTGTGCTTACCTCATATAATCTTCACAGATGCCTTTTGGAGCAGGTTGGTTTATTATCCGCTTTTCAACAGAAACTGGGTGTTAACTAATTTTAGCCCCAAGTCACATGGCTAGGAAATGTCAGGGCTGAGATGCCTATCATGGTCTGACAGCAACCCTTCTCCTACCCTGATCTGTGCCTCCTCACCACAAACCCTGCTACGCATTCTTTCTATATTTCTTTCCTACTGTCCTCTGTCTGAAGGCCAAGAATGCAATCCTTGAACACACGATTTGTGTTAGAGATAGGAAGCGCTTCAGCAAGGAATTTCTTTTGCACCTCAGATGCTCTCTTTCTTTTTAACTTGTCATTTTGTAAATTTCCCAACACATACAGAAGTAGATAAGGGAGCAAAATGAACTTAGTTTCAACACGGACTGATGTTGTGCCACACTTGTTTCATCTATCTTCCCTCCAGTTTCCACATTTTATTTTTGGAGTATTTTAAAGCAAATTCTAGACAGCATGTTATTTCACCCATAAATATTTCACTATTTGTAACCAATAAAGAATTTTAAAAATGTAGTTATCACACATTTATCATAGTCAACAAAATTAACATCATTACTTAATATCACATGCTATTTTTAAGAACTTTTTAAAAATCACAAATCTTACACACACAAAAAAAGCTGTACTGGAAAGAATGACAGAATTCCTGTTTGTGAACCATTTCTTTTCATAGGCATGGTAAAATGTTTTCCATTGAGTTTATAGGATTGATGTGTATGTACAGAATAACAGTGAATCTTAGTAGCATTCATTACAAAGACATTTTCCTAATTTACAGTAGTCTGTGAACCCTTGAGTGTTATATTTTGATGATAAGGGCTGGGCCCACAGTTTTTAGCTACTGCTAATTAACACCTAATTCAGGCAAGATCTTCTCTGCAGACAAAATTAATCTTCCTCTCCTATAAGTACTGGTGGAAGATTGATCTTATGTGCCCTGAAGTACTCTGATTGCTGTCTCTGTTCTAAGTCCAGGAGAGAAATTACATCTTTTTCATGGTCTATTAACCACATTACCCAGTTTCATGGGTTTGCACACCTAGTAAAGGAATGTAAAGCATCCTTTCAAAAAGCTTTGCCACAATCTAATGGTAATCCAGTATTACATACTAATGGTGCAGTGGGCCCAAGGTACGGATTCATCTAATGTGTACCTGGAAAGAAATTTGGAAATCATTTAAGGCTACTCTCATTTTAGATCTGACAAAACTGTAGCTGAGAGAAATGCGGTCTATTTTATTGCAAGTGACAATGTTCTTAACTAATTCATTTTATCTGTTAGTGCCCATGTACTAAAAGTTTCCATGAAATTAAAGTTATTTTTTTGTAAAACAATGCAATTGCATAGCTTAATTTCATCATTATCCCCAATCAGGCAGCGATGCTTCAATATACACATGCAAAGAGTACTTAAATTTTCCTCTTCCTTTGAGCAAGAGATGCTCACCACGTCCCTCCATTTTTCATTGAACATAAGTCTACCCTGCAGTCCGCTGCTGTTGTTTGTGCTGCCGTTGACGAGGGGATGGATTTTTAAATTACTGGCCATATTTCTCTTTAGAGAGGCCCACACGCGCCAATCCTCCGCCGACTGGAGCCTGAGCTCCAGTGGTGTATGTTCTAACTTAAGCAACATTGGGTCATCTGTTTATTGTGGGTTTAGCGGTCAGGAAGAAAGGGTGGCCGTTGCCAGGGCAACCGACACCCAGGGCAACGGCAAGTCGAGGAGGGAGGGGGCGTGGCCTCGAGCGGCACGGGCCGATAAGAGGCGGCGCCCGTCGTCGCGTTGCGAGTGGGGTCAGTCTACGCGGCAGGGCGGAGGCGGGGCGGCCCGGGCGTCTCCGACTGCCTAGAAAGACCCCGAAGGGCGGGCGAGCGAGGCTGCGGTCCCGGCCGTTGCCCTTCCTCACAGCCCATGCCGAGGAGCCTCGCCCGGCGCCCTAACATGGCCGGCGGGCGATGCGGCCCGCTGCTGACGGCGCTCCTGGCCGCCTGGGTCGCGGCGGCGGCGGCTACTGCGAGCCCAGAGCAGGCCGCGCTGCCGCCAGAGCAGAGCCGGGTCCAGCCCATGACCGCCTCCAACTGGACGCTGGTGATGGAGGGCGAGTGGATGCTAAAATTGTGAGTGTGCCCGCCCGCCCCGCACGCCACACTGTCCTCAGGGGCGCCACCCCCCCAACCCCGCGCGGGTAGCTCCCGATCCCGCGCTGCCGCCCGACTCGACCTGGGGCCCCGGACCCGCCCTGCAAACGACCTGCGGCGCCGGGGTTGGGCCTCTCGCGCTGCGCATGCGCACCCAGCCTTCCCTGTGACAGCTTTGGGTGCATAGTATCATCGCCTGCCTTCTTGTCCCTTGCTTTGAGGGAAAGTGTTTTAGGGATGGAGCAACTTGCCAAGGGAAGGGGGGGAAGGAAGAAAATGTGTGCTTTTATAGGTCTGTGGAAGAGAAAGCGCAGTCAGTCAATGACATTTATGTATGGTATGAATACGTAGCAGAGGCTAAGCAAGTTATTAGTTTAGTGAATAATTACAGCACAGTGAAGGCAGACCATTTGTATAATATAAAATATCTTAGTTCGCCTTTTGAAGACCTTGAGATGTCATTGTGAAAATAAAACGTACACATGGGTGCCTTTTAAGTTTTAAAATAAGATTTCAAATAAATGTTGATATGTGTTCTCATTTTTTGAGGTAGAACTTTCTGGGTAGATTATCATAATTATGCTAGTGTCATAAAAAATAGACATTAGAAAATTCTCCCTTTTGAACAATAGAAGATAAATGGTGGATAGTGTCTTTGTTTGAAGGAGACGGGAAACTATATCTTTATTTTTGGTGAAGGACAGGGATTTGTTGATTGTAGCTTAAAATTAAACTTCTTATAGTAGGGAAGTGATTATTTGAAAGGAGACTTGATGTTGACAATGGGCAGGTGTCTGAATAGACTTGAGAGACCATCATAGTGAGCTTGCAGGGAAAATGAAGAATGGTGAAATAATCACTGAGACTACATCTCTTTAGCCTGTGGTCTCAGGCAATATGTATACTTGATCACTACTATTTTATAATTAATTTTACATTGAGGACACAGACACTCACAAAATTATATCTTTATTTATCAAAGAACATTTCTATTCTTTCAGTTTAGATTTCAAGCAGTCGCCTATGGAGTGAAAACCTCAATGTAAGATCAGGGCTAAAAGTTATGTCACTTAGCAGATTACATTGCTTAAAGAATTTAATGCATAATATCCCTTAAAATGTGCATTTACCTTTTGGTCACAAAGGGGATATTTAAGACTCGAAATGAGATTCCCTCGTTTTCATAATAAATCAATGAAATTATTAGAGGTGTAGACATGAATAACTTATTAAAATACAACTATTAATACTCTGGATGGAAATAAGGAGGTCATATTCCATTTAAAACAGAAATTTTGTAAGTAAGTGGAGCTTTATGTTAGGACTGCCATGTTTGTAATTGTAAGAGTTTTAGAGAAACTGCATTTTGTCAGCCAATACTATAGAAAGTTCTTTTTTCCAGTAGATCCTTACAAAGTGGACTTTTTCTAGATGTCAATTTTCTGGTTAAAACGGAGTTGGTGTATGTACATGCTGACAATCAAATCAGAAAGTTTTCCTTATATTTAACGATGTCAACTTTTTTATGGTTCATTTTAGAATCACTGTTTTTTTTTTTTTCTAAAGTAAAAGAACTAAGAACACTAAGGCTGCAATAAGTTTATAAATGAATGACCACCACCAAATCCTATGTTTGGCTATGTTGATGATTCAAATTTTACTTTTTTATAAATATGCAAGCCTGGGCACAGTAATCAATTGCTCCAAGCTTGCTATGTGTCCCGTTGTATGGAATATACTTGAGCTGTGATGCAAGGTGAGTCTTACAGTCTGGAAATAATCTCTGTAGACACTTGAGGTCATTTTAGTTGAAGTTCTTTTTTCATCAAGCGTACTTTAGGATAGGTAGATAGGAAGCAAGCCTATAAAGGAAAGATGATTTAAACCATTACATCCAATTTCTTTGTACCTAAGAACCTGAGTGCTCATCCTGAAGAAATATTATAGGTCTTGTCTATTTGTGATCTGTTTTTCTATTTTTCTGCATTATTCCCTCTCCTCTCTGTGAAAAAATACAAAACTTTAAAAAATATAAAATTCATTAGATTCTCTACCATTGTAGGCCTACTATGAGTCTCTAAGAATTCATTAAACCAACAATAAGTTAACAGATTTCTTTTCCTGATGTATATAACAGAAAAACAAAGTAGGTTGGTACTAACTCCACGTTAACACCTTGTTCAGGTGAACTGCTCATAATTAATGGAAACTTTTAGGAGTCTGCAGAGGATGTATTTCTTTCTCCAAAGAAGCAAGTTAGGAAGCTTTCTGATATTAAAAAATTGACTTTACTTTGAATGACGGTTCTTTGTTTGTTCATTTGCTTACACGCTACCTTCTGGGAATTTTTTTTTTCTTTTTTATCCTATGTCATATAAAGCCCCTGTAATGCAATTCCTGGTTATATTGGTATAGAAAATTTAATTTATTTTTAAGGACCTAGCACTGTTTGGCAGCTCTGAGACATGAAAAGCTCCTATTAGGAGATTTATTTGATTACGTTTTCTTTGTCTTTCAAACAGAGTTTGGATTCTTGCAAGTGAATTTTCAGTTTTAGAAAAGCACTTCTGTATTAAGGAATCAGTTCAGTATCAGTTAAAAATATGTATGCAATAAGTCTCCATTTCTATTAATATTCTGAAACCTTTAAAAATCTGAAAAATTCTCCCATTACTACTTACATTTTTTTAATGTTATGACCTTATTGTATACTCACTTTTCCTGTTGTTTCCTTTCATAGATTGTTTTATAGTGTTTAACTCTATTTCTGCCATTCCCTGTAATTTGGCTTGCTGTGTTTTTCCACTCCCTTAACTTCTGAATGCAAACTTTGCTCTTTATCTGAATTAGGAAAAATGATCTAATCTTTAAAATACCTTTTGATGCTTACTTGTCTCTATTTCCATTGTTTATACTCTGCTCCAGTTACTTTGCAACCTTTTGCTATTTTAAACCCTTGCTTGGCTCATGGTATATCTCCTTGAGAATACTACTTTTGTTCTTTTGAAACACAAAAGTATGCAGTATGATACATTCTGTGTACTGTTCTGTTGGCTTTTTCCCTCAAAAGAAATAAGTAGAAATCCAAGTGGCTCAATTTTGACCCACCTACTTTCAAACTGACATCCAGAGGAAAATTATATCTTTGAGTTAAATTAATTTACCTCAGTAAAGCATATAGATCTTTTTAAAGCACTGCTTTTTCTCTCTTTATTCTTAGGATACTCATGTTTCAAAATTGAAATTAAAAACCTGGTGATGGAGCAGAGCCTCATTTATTTTCCTAGGACATCTAGGTTTTAGTATTGTCTTCCCAGTATCCTTCTTATACCCGGAGAGAATGTGTTGAACATCATTACCTTAACTTGCCCACGTCAAATAGTTATAATTTCTTGCAGTTTAATAGATTGTCTTGATTTATTGATTGAATGTTTAAGAGCTAGTCATTAAATGCTGGTTATGTGGGTTGGGGATCTGGGAAGGTAAGGGTGAATGAGCTGCAGCTTCGATTTCAAAAGTGCTCTGAAGGAAATAAATAGTATAAGTCATGCGCATTTACCTAGCAAATGTTTGCTGAATGCTCCCTCTGTATTTGACATTCAGCAGTGGTTCTCAACAGGGCACTATTGGCATTTTGGGTTGCACAGTTCTTTGGTGTGTGAGGATGGCCCACACATTGCGGAACCTTTGGCATCCCAGCCCATTACATTTCCAGTAGTATTGTGACAGCAAAAATATTACAACCCCCATTCCCTGTACATACTTCCAAATGCCTCCAATTGACAACCACGGCTCCCTAGGTACTGTTACAGGTATCTAAAAACATGCAAATATTTGATTTTAGATAGTTTCCACAGAGGGTTTAAAGCCTCATTAAAACTTATCATCCACTTCACCTCTGTCATTATCATCATCATCATCACAATCATATTAAACAGTTAAATTGCTTACATCACATATTCCAAATGTTATCTTATTTAGTCGTCTTAGAAATGTCGTACAGTATTATCATTCCCATTCTGACTAGAGGAGATGAAAAGTTGAAAAGGTTAAAGCTTTGGCCAAGGGCAAATCCTTAGTAAGAGGTGGGCAAGGCCAGAACTAGAATGCAGGCCCCAATTCAATCGTGGGAGGGTAGTAGGGGAGCCTGGAGGAAGGCACAGGGCCTGGCTGACCTTGCTTAGGTCTCAGCTGGCCAGCACCCTGACCCACGACAGGAGGCCTTGTTCCTGTAGGATTCAGAAGCCCATCCATGCTTTACCATCTCTCTAGTTTCTGTAAATAAAGAGCCTTTTTACTACATGCTGATTCCTGACACTGCTCACCACTTAGATAGGTGCCCTGCCTTCCCTACATCCCAACACCCCAGGAATATTCCTTCACACTACACCTTGGTTGTATCTAGTATGGTCCTTACCACAACTAGTAATTATAAATTATTTATATGCTTTAGTGCTAAGTTTTTCTTTGACTCTTCCATTACAAGCTTTTAAGTAGAGGAACAAGGTTTTTCTTCTTCCCTGTTTATTTCCAAAGTCTTAATACCTATTAATAACAAGTAGTAGGTGTTCAATAAATACTTTTTAACTAAAGGAATGAGTGAATAATAGACTTCAATTGTTTCTATAATCAAGAGATTTTACAAGTATATCCCTGGAAGGAACATCTGTACTATTTTCTTAAGTTTTAAGTATAATCGCCATCATCTCCCATTTGCTTATTGCAGTAATATTTATTGTGGTGTAGGACCCACCAGGCTCTGTTCTAGGGTACAAGTGATGCAGTAGTTACTGCCTTCATGGAGTGCTCATTCTAGTGAAAGTAGTGAATTCTACTTTCTCTAGCAGGTGTCTTGATTTTCACAGAGCTGTCAATTTTTTATTTTTTCTCTACCTGTTGTGATGACATGGTCCAGCAATGATTTTCTAAAGAAGTACATTTGCGCATAAAGCAGCGGTCCGCAACCTTTTTGGCTCCAG